AGTTCAAATTAGGTCATTTCCTGAGAGCTGCCAAGAGGCAGAAACTGAAGAGGTGGCTATTTTATAAAGATTGTAATTATACAGTGGCCATAGGCATAAACCACCCTCTAAACATAGCACAAGCTGGGTTTTGTTGGGTTGCTAAGTTCGTGCTTGAGCTCCTTGGTCAGAGCAGCAATTCTCACCCAGGGACAGCATCCCCCAGCCCCAGGGGATGTCCCTCCTGGGCACCAAAAGCAGCAGGGACTCATTTCCACTGCTGCAAAGCATCCAGCTCCTCGCACAGCTGGCAGGGCTGTGCAGCACCCTCCTGCCCTCCCAGGGTGCTCAGACCCATGCCTGCCTTCATGTTATCAACTTTCTGCCAGCTGGTGGTGAAAAATAAAGACACCAGAATTAAAAAAATTAAAAGGATGCTGTGATACTTAGAAAGAGGCCCTGCATTGCTCTTATCATTGCCTACAGACAGTGGTTTGCCAGGCAGCAGCCTCTGCAAAGGCCTGCATGTGCCTCTGTCTGGAGCTTGCAAGGAAACAAGGCAGGGCTCATCAAGTTTCTCAGCACATCCCCTATGGAAACTGCATCTGACTCACATTTGTCACTGGGACTTCAGTCTCCCCTCCTTTCCCAACTCCCTCAGAGCAATTGCTCTGAGCCCATATTCTGCAAAATTTGCTCGGACTTACAAATTCAGCTGAAAAATAGGCAAACAAAACAGTGGAGATGTAGAGGCAGTTCCTAAAAACTGTCCACAAGCACTTAATATTCTTTTCTCCTGAAGGGTGGTGTAGGTGAAGTACAGTCCCGACTGGGATAGCCTATCCCAGTAAATCCAGGCTTTTCTGTCTACTGGAGCAACTCCTTTATGAGCTATTTTCAAAGAAGTCCCCTTGCATGTAATCACCTCCTCCCCTTCTGCAAATACAGCTGCTCTACACCCTTTATGAGTCACTCTATTAGTTGCTGAAATGTAGACAGACCATGGTATGATGGATATAATTTTTAAAGCATCTGAGAGGATATGATTTCTTCCCACCCCAAACATGTTAGGCTCACACCTTTCCATTATTGCCAGCTTCTCCTCACACTCTGCTCCACTTCTGCAACTCATGGACACACTTTTTTTCTTTATACTCGATGATGCTGGTGTGCTAGGATTCCTGGAAAATTATAACATGCTGTACCACAGAAGACTTTCCCAGCTCCACCATAAAGGAGGAAACTATTTTCCAGCAATAGACCTTGTGGAAAACCAGGCTCTCACTGCCTTGGTGAGCTTTCTTCAGAGATTGCTGACCATGCAGCTTGAGACTCTGTTCCTCAGGCCTGCTAGCTTGGATTTTCTAAAGTAAGTCTGAAAATTGCTTCTTCTAGAATAATTAGCTTGTAGATTGCCAAACCCAGCCTTCCTCAGGGCCTTGCAAAGTCCTTGCCCCCTAGTCAAACATTTATTTCTGAGCCTTGCAACAACAGAAACACCATTTCCTGGAGCAAATTCCCATATTCTGCCCGTGTTCCATTTCCCCACCGTCCTTGGCTGGCTTACAACACATAAATAGCCATATCCTTTAGCAGTCTGCCTTTATGTTCCCCTTGTTTTCCTCACAGCAGCAGACCAGGGGCATTGCTGATAGCAACACTGGAACCATACAGTGCAGAGCCCACTGATGCTTCCTCATCCACAGAAGCCAAAACCCAGCAGGAACCTGTGATCTGCCACTTTGCCACACACATTTCCAGCTTTGCAGGATGTTATCCACTTACTAGCATTACAGGCAATGTTTTATGGTAGTGGCCAATATAGGACTTGTTCACAAGTCTTCTACTATCTTAATCCAAGCAAGTGTCTGGACCAGGACTGCTCTGATCTCACAGTTCTTTGCTATCCACAACCACTTTCCATAGACATACAATATATAGTGTTACCTTTGGACATAAAACATACCTACCTTAACCAAACTGAGTGCAAAGGATTAGCAGCAGCACCTGTGTTTAATGATATTCTTGTGTCTGGACATAAAGCTGCTCAAGCCCTTTCTGTTTCTGGAGTGGTTTCTCACATTCCAGGCAGGCTTTAAGGTCTTAACTTTGTTTACTGATGCGAAAGCCATGATGGCACCGGAAAGAAAGAAGTATTTTAGTTCTCTATTTCCTTCACCCTATCTGTTCCTCCTGACAGATACCCTTATCCCATCTCATGGATAATTTTTTCCTACTTTCAATTTTTGCCAAGCATCAGTACTTGCTTCTCTGCTGACCCACCAAACCAAGACAGTCCTCTTCTTTGCTGTGTCTTGACTCACTTCTCTCTCCCTCCCTCCACAAGCACGACACCAGCATGAGTCATTTCTGCCATAGCATGTGAATGGAAAAAAACCAAAACAATCTCCCTCTGACATTGTCCCAAACAGTGTTTCCCTTTCAGTATAGCAATTCTTCCATTCCTGCCTCTCAGAAAATCTATTATACCTTTTGTTCACCTGAGCCTCTACATATTACTTCAAGTCTCATTCTGCTCCAGCTTCTTTGAGTCAATCCTGATCTAACTTGGAAGATGTGAACTTGCTCCTTGCTTGGGCACCCAGTGCTACACAAAGAGATTTTTAGGGCTGCGATCTCTTAAGACTGAAATAATCAGGAAATCCAGTCAGAACTGTTACTTGTCAAGTAAAACTTCACATCATTCAGCTCCTCAGCATTCATTAGATCCAGGCTAGCCTATGGATCTTACCATGATTGCAACCATGTTCTGCAGATGTAGTCACATTCCTGC